AAAAAAAATGTTTGATGGCAATCACAATGATCTTCATTGTTGGAGTTCAAAGAGAAATATAAATAACGATATAAAAAAATAAATAAATAATCATCCCAATCAGTTTTATGATTTGAAATATACGTAAGGATATTGAAGTAGAGCCCCGTATTCATCCCCAAAACTCCTTTTCAAAAACTAGAAAAAGGAGTAGCTTTGAAAAATATTTAGTCCTCGGCTTATCTCAATGACTAGAAAAAGGGGTAGCTTTGAAAAATATTTAGTCCTCGGCTTATCTCAATGACTAGAAAAAGGGGTAGCTTTGAAAAATATTTAGTCCTCGGCTTATCTCAATGACTTAATACAGCAACAGACATCGACAAGACTGAACTCGAGACAGATCAGGTAGCTGCAAAAGTGCCCCTCTATCTGTTTTGCTATGCCATTCTGCTTTATGGCACCAAAATGGCTGCCACTAGCAAAGTCATAATCCGGAAAAGAGAGGTCGCCTTCTTTAGGGAATGTGAATAAGAATTTCGAAGTTCAACTGGAAACCTACATTTGTCCACAGATGGATCTACGGTCGTGATCAAACCTAAACCCCCAAAGTCACAGCTATCTGCACTTTGATTGTGTTGTTGGTAGTAGCTATTAAATGCATACGATACGTTCCCAGGCCAACTAAGGTTGGAACATGACCCGCCCGGAGACAGTGCAGTGCAATCAGCAGCAGAACACGCCTCCTGAGCACTCGTAGTTGCATTAGACAAGTCCTTGTTGTTGTTCAGTACACACCACCTTAATGGGAAGTACTCAACATTTTGTGCATTTACAAGGTTTCTTGAGCCTTGGCCAAAATCAACTCGATACTTGGCTTGACCATCAAAAGTGAAGAGGCCCCAGTGTCTCTCGAAACTGCCAGCAGCTACACTTCTTTGATCCTCGTCTAAGAGGCTAAGTATGTACGTCTCAATTGGTGGAATTTTAGGTCTCAATGGCGTCCCCACTCTGCTATGAAGATGCTCCATCAAGCCTTTTATAAAGGTTTCTGCAATGGCTGAGGTTGCATTGGCAGCTCCATCTGTAGGCCAGCCGATTTGTGCCACGACAATGTTGATTCTGGAGAATCCTATAGTTGACAATGCAGCAACAAGAGTATCATAGCTTAGGTCGAAGCTGTTTTTGTATGTTCTACGGCTGTCATTGCGAGGTTTTGCAGTTTCTTTGAATAGAGCAAAGTCAAGAGAGATGTTTTTGTTTTGGTGGAAACTTAAAAAGGGGGAGATGGTAACAAAAAATGGTGAGCCATGCTTTGTTAGGAATGTGAGAAGTTGAATCATGGTTCTGTTAACGTCAGCTCGGAAGTGCCCTTTTGAAGGAAGACCTGACTCTGACAGGAAGGCATCAAAACTGCAAGGAACCACTACCTTCACCTTGCTCTCCAAGTTGGCTCTGCGCAAAGCGGTTTGAATATTGGTGGCTGCTCCAATGACAAAAGGATGGAACTGCTCGCCATATCTCTGGAGAAACGGTTCGTCTCCTACAGCAACATACCTGTAACAAATTTTTTGATTAGCCATCTAAAAAAATGAAGTAAGAATCATATGTGAACCAAAATCAATTTTGCATTTTATGTAATCAACAAAAATGAATCAGAAGTATTTACAACTGAAAATAAGAAACTCGGCCTACAGAATCCTGCTAAAAGGCCATTTGTTGATGCAGGTAAATCCTTGTTGTTTTCTCCAAACATCTTTCTCCTGCTTTGCATTTTATTTTGTACATAAATATTTTACCAATATGACTAAGAAAAGGAGTAAGAAGATATAGGCTTCTTTCTTGAAATGGACGAGTTCTAATGATAGAACAAACTTAGCAAAATGAATCAGCTGAACTAAAACAATCAATGACGGAGAACCATTTTATATAGGTGAGAAAGGAAACACCAAAACTATCACCTAATTAGGAAAAACATCATCGAATCTAGCGAGCTGAAGAAAAACAGTAACCAAAGTTGCAAAATCCATTCTGAGCTAATGAGATATTTTCATGTCATGGTCACCAGTTGTATCTTTTGCAACTGAAATTTTTTCCAGGGAAATCATTTTCTGTATTTATGATGTCTGTTGATATGTCCCCGAGCTGAATTTCTGGTGACATCACATGTTACTTTTCGCTTGGTGTAATATAGTGTAGGAAAGTTAGGAAATCTGATCCCATAGAATCAGGGAATTAGAATTAGAATTATTCTGGGATATTTTCCGTTTTAGTTCTTTCCTTTTTTTCTCCTTTTTTCTGTTACTATTTTTGCTCCTCAATTCTAGGAACCGAACCTTGTGTTCCTTTTCTATTTAAACTAATGTAACTCGTATTATGATAATAACAAGAGAGAGAGAGACTTTTCTGCTCTCTGGTTTTCCCTTCTACCCTATTTTCCTACATGGTATCATAGCCTTAGGCCCCGATCTAGGGTTTATCTATGGCACGCCAGAATCCGTGGAAGACAGCTCTAACCGGTGCAGCCAGCAAGGACTCAGCGGTGCCAGGGGAAAGCACTGCAAGTTCAAATCTGAACTCCTCCATCTCATTCAATAGCACGGAGGGGTCCACTAATTCACTCCAACTGAATATCCACCGTCTAAATGGAAAAAACTACACGGAATGGTCGCAAACCGTTCGGTTGATCTTGGATGGCAAAGGGAAACTTGGATATCTGACAGGAGAAGTGGCAAAACCTGCAGATGGAGATTCGGCTTTCAAGACCTGGAAATCAGAGAACTCTTTGATTATTGCGTGGTTGGTGAATTCAATGGAACCCGCAATTGGAAAACCCTTCATATTCCTGCCGACGGCCAAAGATGTTTGGGAAGCAGTCAGAGACACGTATTCTGATTTGGAGAATTCTTCGCAGATTTTTGGTTTAAAATCCAAACTTTGGCGCGAGACAAGGTGACCGAGATGTAACCTCATACTACAACGAGTTGATGACCTTGTGGTAGGAGTTAGACCTCTGTTATGATGATGTCTGAGAGTGCACAAATTATAGCGTCCGCTTCATGAAACGACAAGAAAATGATCGTGTCTTTATGTTCTTGGCAGGGCTAAACAAGGAGTTAGATGAGGTGCGTGGCCGAATTTTAGGGAAGATGCCTCTGCCAACAATTCGTGAGGCCTTCTCAGATATTCGAAGAGAAGAAGCATGGCAGAATGTGATGCTTAACAACAAATCCAGTCCTAACAACAATAACTCAGAAGTAGAAAGTTCTGCTCTCGTAACTCGAGATTTCCAGGAGGAAGTGAAGAAGGATGGTAAGCACTCTGAACGGCCATGGTGCGACCACTACAAACGCTTGGAAACTTCATGCCAAGCCTCAAAACTGGAAGAAGAAGTCTGGTAGAGATGGGCGTGCACTTCAGGCTAGTGTCTCGGATCAGGAGCAACAGTCTTCTTCAAGCTCATTTCCTTTCACCAAGGAGCAAATAGACCAACTGTACAAGCTTCTTGAGCCTCAGAAAATTCCTTCTTGTTCTTTGGCTCAAAAATGTAATTACCTAAAAGCAGCCCTCATTAGTATCAACCCCGATCGCACCTGGATCATCGATTCAGGTGCAACTAATCATATGACTGGGTTGTCAAATCTTTTTTCTTCATATAGTCCTTGTGCAGGTAATCAGAAAATTAAAATTGCAGATGGTTCTCTTTCAGCCATTGCAGGAAAAGGTTCTATTGTAGTGTCTCCATCACTCACTCTCCACGATGTTCTTCACGTTCCTAAACTTTATTGTAACCTTTTATCTATTAGTAAGCTAGCTCGTGATCAAAACTGTCAAACTAAATTTTTCCCAACTCACTGTGTGTTCCAGGATTTGACCTCAGGGAGGATGATTGGCAGTGCTAAGCAGAGTAGAGGACTCTACTTCCTTGATGATGGATCTGAATCGAGGCAACAATCTCAACAAATAAGTTCCTGCTTTGAATCTATTTCCGTTTCTAATAATAATATTATGTTATGGCATTTAAGATTAGGCGATCCAAGTTTCAAATATTTAAAACATTTGTTTCCTAAGTTGTTTGGCAATAAAGATCCATCTTTGTTTCATTGTGAAATATGTGAATTTGCAAAACATCACCGTACATCTTTTTCTTTGCAACCCTATAAACCATCAAAACCGTTCACTATTATTCACAGTGATGTTTGGGGTCCTAATAAGATAAGTACACCCTCTAAAAAGAGATGGTTCATCACATTTACGGATGATCATACTCAACTTTGCTGGGTGTATTTATTAAAAGAAAAATCAGAGGCCGGACAAGTTTTAAAAATTTTTACAATATGATGCAGACTCAATTTCATACTAATATACAAGTTTTCAAAAGTGATAATGGGAAGGAGTATTTTAACTTTATCTTGGGAAATTTTTTCCTTGAAAAAGGAATAATTCATCATAGTTCTTGCATAGATACACCCCAACAGAATGGTGTTGCTGAAAGGAAAAATAAACATCTGTTGGAGGTGGCTCGTGCATTACTTTTTTCAACTAAAGTTCCTAAGTATATGTGGGGAGAGGCGGTTCTAACTGCTGCATACTTAATAAACAGAATGCCCTCCAAAGTTTTACAATTTCAAACTCCTTTCCAAGTGTTTAAAACTTGTTTTCCAACTGCCAGACTTTCGGCTGATCTACCTCTAAAAATATTTGGTTGTACATCGTTTGTTCATGAACATAGGAAAATTGGAAAACTTGAACCCAGAGCTATAAAATGTGTCTTCATTGGTTACTCCCCAACTCAGAAAGGTTACAAATGTTTTGACCCGGTAACAAAAATTTTTTTTGTCACCATGGACGTGACGTTTTTTGAAAAACAACCATTTTTTAAGGAGATTCATCTTCAGGGGGAGAATTTCAAGGAAGATTCATTTGTTAACTCTGGTGAGGTTTTTTTCTCAGATGATGTGTTTCTTAAACAACACTCTAAACCGAGTACCTCTGCACCTACAATAAATGGCCAAGATCCGTTGTTTGAAATTCGTCTCATTGTGAGTGATGTTTCACTTGAGTCTAGACCTACATTTGAAAATCAATCTGAAAATCAGAATTCTGAAAAACATTTTGTGGAAACCGAAAACAAGGAACAGCCTACTGAAATGCCACAATATGATAATTCTACTAAAGTAACAGGTAATAGATTCGAGGAAGGTAACCGAACTTGGAAAGGGATTGTTTACTTGAAGAAGAATCATAAAAAAAGGAAAGACGAATTGACTCAACAGCAAAGCCATGATTCCGAACCAAAGGCAAATAAAAAATATGAGTCACTTGCAGGTAATTCTTTTCTCTTCCTAACAGTCAGTCTGAGTCTTCTGATTTTGAAATTCCTATAGCTCTACGTAAAGGGATTAGATCCTGTACTCCGCTATCTAAATTTGTGTCATACTCAAAACTGTCTCCATCTCTGGTTGCTTTTACCTCTCAATTGTCCAGTGTAGAAATCCCTAACAATGTACAGGAGGCCTTAAGAGTTCCAAAGTGGAAGGAAGCAGTGCTTGAAGAGATGAGAGCTCTTGAGAAGAACAATACTTGGAGTATTGAGGCGTTGCCAAAGGGAAAGACTACCGTGGGCTGTAAATGGGTTTTCACGGTGAAGTACAACTCTGACGGTTCAGTGGAAAGATACAAGGCTAGATTGGTGGCAAAGGGATTCACTCAGACATATGGCATTGATTACTCTGAGACTTTTGCCCCTGTTGCAAAATTGAACACGGTAAGAGTACTTTTAATCTAGATTGGCCATTGCAACAACTAGATGTGAAGAATGCCTTTCTCAATGGTGATTTGGAGGAGGAGGTGTACATGGATAGTCCACCCGGCTTTGAAGAGAAATTTGGCTCAAGAGTGTGCAAGCTAAAAAAATCATTGTATGGGCTCAAACAGTCTCCAAGGGCTTGGTTTGAGAAGTTCACACAATCTGTCAGAAAACAAGGATATTCTCAAGGACAACCTGACCATACCTTGTTTTTCAAGTTCTCTTCTGAAGGAAAGGTTGCTGTGCTAATAGTGTATGTTGATGATATTATTCTCACAGGTGATGATGTGATTGAAATGGAGAGACTGAAGAAGAGCCTTGCATTAGAGTTTGAAATCAAGGATTTGGGAGAGCTAAGATATTTCCTTGGTATGGAAGTTGCTCGTTCAAGGAAAGGAATTATTGTCTCTCAACGAAAATATATTCTTGATATGTTGAAGGAAACCATAATGAGTGGTTGCAAACCGGCTGAGACTCCCATGGATCCCAAGTAAAGCTCTGGGAAGAGGGGCGTGTTCATGTTGATACTGGTAGATACCAGAGATTAGTTGGGAAATTAATTTATTTATCCCATACTCGACCAGATATTGCCTTCTCAGTCAGTGTTGTTAGTCAATTCATGCACGTACCTTATGAAGAACACTTCGAGGCGGTCTACCGAATTTTGAGATATTTGAAATCTACTCTTAGAAAAGGTCTGCTTTTCAAGAAGACTAATCAAAGGAGTGTTGAGGTATTTGCCGACGCAGATTGGGCAGGTTCGGTGACTGACAGAAGATCTACCTCAGGGTATTGTACCTTTGTGTGGGGAAACTTGGTTACTTGGTGAAGTAAGAAGCAAAGTGTTGTTGCCAGAAGTAGTGCTGAGGCTAAGTTTAGAGCAATGGCTCAAGGAATCTGTGAGGTATTGTGGATATACAAAATCCTAGAAGAACTCAAGAAGAGTGTGGAACTTCCCCTGAAGCTGTACTGTGACAACAAGACTGCAATAAGTATCGCTCACAATCCCGTCCAGCATGATCGGACGAAGCATATAGAGATTGATCGACACTTCATTAAAGAAAAACTTTAAGCAGGGACTATTTGCTTGCCGTTTGTACCTTCTAGTCAGCAAACAGCCGACATCTTGACCAAGGAGCTTGCAAGACATAACTTTGAACATCTGATAAGCAAGTTGGGCATGATCGATATCTATGCACCAACTTGAGGGGGAGTGTAGGAAAGTTAGGAAATCTGATCCCATAGAATCAGGGAATTAGAATTTGAATTATTCTGGGATATTTTCCGTTTTAGTTCTTTCCTTTTTTTCTCCTTTTTCTGTTACTATTTTTGCTCCTCAATTCTAGGAACCAAACCTTGTGTTCCTTTTCTATTTAAACTAATGTAACTCGTATTATGATAATAACAAGAGAGAGAGAGACTTTTCTGCTCTCTGGTTTTCCCTTCTACCCTATTTTCCTACATATAGCTTGGTGCTCTGGACAAACTCACTGAGTGTAAGGCAGTAGCCAACATGATCTAAAGACAATCCAGATACTAAGAATCACAGGAATACACACTGAAAGGTCTCAACTCTCAACATTCAAATTCAAACAGAATATAAGGATAAGCTCCAAGATTAGCTGCATCTGGTAATCACAAGATAGGGATTATCTCATAATTGTTCATTTATTTGTAATTAAATGTATTCATCTCTTAAAGGGCTATAAATAGAAACTACACAACCACTAAGGAAGCTCCAAGTCCATTATTTCAAATTCACGCTCTTGAGCATTCTCTTCAATCTCCCCGTCATAGGAATTACCCCAAGCACCATAGTGGACGTAGCTCTCGTAATAAGGGTGAAGCACTATTGACCCGTTTGATTCATAGGTTTAAATAGAAAGTTTGAACAGAAATTCAATTTTTTTTCAAGGGAGATAACATTGTAGAAAAAAGATTTGAACTGTGCTTTAAACCCGTGAAAAAATCTAGCCATATAATGTGTCGTCTGATTTCTACAATTTGTTTTACGGTTTGTACGTGAGAGTTACCTTGTTAGCCGGGTTTTCATCACTAACACTGTCCTAGGCTCCTAGCATCCTATTGCCTAAAAAATGAACTTAAGGAATAACCTTTGCAATTCGTAAACAAGAAAACCTCATTCTGCTTAACTGGATAGTTATAGACATAGTTGTTAGTTTACCAATCCATTCTAAAAGGATAAGCTGTTACTCAATAATAGTTTTGTGAATATTTAAGCACGAGATATATTATGACAATTTAAACGGGGATAAAAAATATAATTACAAGAGTTTAAACTCAAGACATCATGCTCTAATACCATGTTAATTTATCAATCTATCTTAAAAATTTAAATTGTTAGGTGGTGGCCAATAATAATTTTATAATTTAACAAAAGTACTATGAGCAATCACATTTACTCTCAGGGACATAAAAACCTAATATGACTAAGAAAACAAACATATGCTAATCTTAGCTACATTCACTTCAACTAAAACCATTACATTAAAATTAAAAAAAAAAAAAAAGTGTAAGAGAAGAGAAGATACTCGATTCGGAGTCCAGTGCGGGCAGAGGAGACATAACGAGTGACATTGTCGTGGACCCAGCTGTGGGCGGCTTTAATGGAGGAATTGAGGGCTCTGAGCATGGAATTGGGAATGCCGAGGGTGACGGCGATGTTAGACCCGGAGAGAGCTTCCAAGACGAG